ATATATATATATATATATGTTAAGTGTAATTGCAATTTATATTTAAACGAAATATTTTTTGTATATTAATATACGACAGATACATACATACTATATTTGATGCCAAATTTAGATTAAGAATTAACAAATTTTCGAAAGATTAATCTGTCTTTTAGTTATTATTATCTCTATTAAGATATTATTTTATACAGGGGGAAGAGGGGGAAGAGTTATTTACGTATGCACGAATATTGACAATTATTCATGAAAACTTACAAGGATTTTGGTCATCATTTTTAACTGCGGTGAGTGCGGTGCGTAAATGATTGTCTCGCTGCGTTCACTGCGATGCCTATTCTCGATTACTTCGGTGTCTTTTATACATCGTGCCTTCCCTTACAAGAACAAAGACTCTCTCCCACCGTGATCACGATTTGTTGTACAACTCGCTCACATACGAGGGCACATCCGGAGTAATATATGTATATACATCGCGTATACTAGGACCGGTCTCCGTTTCTGGACTTGGTGCCGCATTTTCATTATTACTCAAGTCTGTTACCGATGTACGAATTTCGTCTGACAATGATAACTTCTTTATAACTTCTTTTCTCTTTTCTTACTTACGCAGTATATAAAATATAATAATAATAGTATAATAATAATATTTGTATATATTAATTATTATATAAATATGATAAGCGCGCAAAAAATTGAGTAGTTAATTATTATTTTCTGCTCAGATGTGGACAAGCCGACATGAGAATAAAGAACGATAACGCAAATTGAATCTAATCTATCTGTCGTAATTGCAATGTTACCGCGAAAAATTGAACATTTTCCTTGTGTAAAATCCGAACCTAATTTAAATCTTTCTTTCAACAAATTTACAAAATTGTATCGTGTTGTGTTGATATACTTGACATTGGGCGAAAAATGTGATATATCTTCTTTTAAATTTATTTTTGTTTTCTTTTTTAGATATGGAAACAAGTATAACTATGTATATTTTATATATTTTATATGTTTAAGATATATTTACATTTGTTTATTTATTGCTCTAACCTAAGATTAATACATTTTATTTCTTTAAAGAATAAATTTCGGATTTCTTTTCCGATCGATTTTGAGTTCATTTCTTTATGAAAAGATCAAAAACAAGGGATAGAAAAAGCTTGGGATCAACGTTCGCGATTTGTACCCTCTCGAACGGATACATACGATCTATACATATTAAGTATGCAAACGATCGAATCAAACAGAATTTGTTTTTATCATCATCGTGGCGAGCGATGAGAAAGATCAGAAGCAGGATATATGTATTTCTTTCAAGGTTACGACGAGATTGCGATGTGGTTGGACGAGATTCGAGTCCAAGAGTTTCCAACTTTTGCCGCCTGCATTCGGTCAAGTAATCTGCAGACTGAACTCTGAAGTCTGAAGGCTTTCGCATCTTTTTCTTGCCCTGTTTGCGCGTCACGTCCTGTAGAAGAAACTTGTAGGTACTCATTCTAAGGGATTCGATCGCTTCTTATATCTTAGTGATATTTCTTCGATTCGATTCACATGATGTGATTCATTTGGTCGATTCGATCATTCAACGACAATCGCGCTTTCCGCTTTCGCGCATCTGTTTCAGCTTTCAGCATCTGTCCAATTGTCCATGCGTTCCGACCTTCCGAAAGTACGTACAGATACTTTCCTCGGGTACCTGGTACGTGTTTCAATCTACTTGCTCAAGAAGCCACGACGTTACGTAAATCGTCGATCGTATCTAGATTATCGATGCGTAGCCCGCAGAATGTCATGCTAAAATCGCGACCTGATTCATGATGACTTTGGCTGCGAAACAGAAATATTTCGAGAATCATCATAGGTGTACATATAATAACTCATCGATCGTGAATCAATTTATTAAATCCAAATGTTGGTAATGTTGGTAATATATTTGAGATTAATTAGGTTAATGTTATTATTTTATTAAAAAAAGATATACATACATGTATTAGATTAGAATGATATATAAGTAAATTATACAATTATATACGAGAGTATATAATGAATAATGTTGATAAATTTTTTCATTACTCAAGATGAAAAATGGATTATTTTCTTAAAGTGAGGGCAAGGACGTGAATTAACAAGAAAAAAAAATATCTTTTCTATCAAAAATCTTTTACGACACAGCCTTGATCGAACGATGGGCCTGAATCCCACAAATCGTTCAGGTCTCTACAAGTTCGAGATATCTGCCCGATCGGAATTATATAAACGTGGCTGACGCGGAATGGATCGTTATGTAATCCTCCCTGCCTAGGTACGTGGTCGAAGACAATGTGTGGCAAGGTTGCACGACAGGGAAAATGATTACATGGAACGCATTCAGATTGGTTTACGGCTGCTGGCTGACAATTAGTGAACAGCTCTATTCGTTTGATCAAATTAGCACGATCGTGAAGCGTACGCTACCATAAATTTTTGAATTCGTACTTACATGTTCCGTTCTGTCAGATTTTACAAATTTTAATTACCTTATAAAACTTATGAGAGTAAAATACACATATATATATATATATATATATATATATATATATATGTATATGAACGTA